GTACAAAAATGTGGTACCCTGTCTAAATGAGAGCATTTCTCCACATTTTTACTTTTTACATGAAACAAAAAAAGATTTCTTAAGCAATAAGAATAGTGGTTGCCAATCAGAATTACCTTTGCATACAAAGAACACATTATGAAATGTTTTCTGAGGAAATAAAAATTTACCAATGAAATCCTCCCACAACCCCCCTTTTTTTCAGAAAACTGGATGAAAATCTACGAATCAATTTTAGTAGACTTAAACCTTATTTTATCAATGCCTCTAGATAGGCATCCTTTAAAATTCAATAGGCTACCCATCAGGCTTAAATTAAAATATTGTTTGTTTGCAGTTTACCGACCGACCCTCGAAAATCCGCCCGACTGTGAAAATTTTATTGCTTTTAATTTGAAGAAATTATTTTTATTTTTCTATTGACGCAATCCGGAACTTCTGGTCGTTTCCGGAATTGATTTAAAGTCTGGGTCGATTACACGTTTCAATTTCGGTTTTTCATACCTTCTTGTCAAGCGTACATGGGACCGTTTAAGGCCAAAATAAATAAATGGTGTGTTTCCGGTTTCCCGACCCTACCTCCGTTTCCGACGCCGACCCTAAACATTTTATTGACAAAAATGAAAATAAAAATTCAAAATCCGGATTTTTCAGTCTGTCCGGATCAGATTATTCGTTTAGAGTACTATAGATCTTCAAAGCGTTTGATAATAACGACCAATATTGTTAAGTAAAGCGTTTCAAGGACCAAGATTTTAAATAAACAAGCATGGCTTTTCGGCAACCGTGTAGCGTATTAGCTGTCAAATATGTGAAATGTGATCACATAGACACAAAATATAATGACATCAGTTCCGGATAATTACGATATGATGAATCTTTTTGAAGAACATCAAGCGGACCTATAGACAAAAAAAATATGAAGTTGAAGCACTATGCTCAACTTCTTTGTACAGGTACAAGCGAGATTTTTTAAATATTTGTATATATAATGAATAGTGTATTCAGTATATATACATATATTAACTAAATCTCGTCTTGTACCTGTGCTTCTTTGGACCAAAAGTCAGAATCGTTTCAGGTTGGACAGACTGTATGATCTGTCGGTAAATTGACTAACAATTTTATAGTAAAATGAGTTCAAATTTACTGCTAAAATCAATCCAGCTTTGATGTAAAACATGCTCTTACGAATGTTGTACAGAATTGTGCTCAGGACGCAACACAAACGGCTGTTAATGCTTTTTAGTTTATGATGGCAAGGGGACAGACAATGTGGAGAAACAAGAAAGGTGAAACTTGAGAAGCTTTCCCCAGTAGGCAGACATGGTGTATGATTCATATTCATTTATAAATGAATCTGCCCCAGCACCATGTCTACTTTTATTCTTTTTTATTTCTCTGGCTGGTCCCATAACAATTTATATAAGAAAAGGGAAAAAATCCTGTCATATTTACATCTGCAATTTATTTGACCAGTAGATTAATGAGGTACCTTCATGACGAATTGTCACGAAATAGAAGTTCCTTCATAATAGAAGTTCCAACTGGAAAAAGTGTTCTGGAATAAATTTTACAGTATATGTTCCTAACAGAATGAATGGTTTAGAATATTTGTTCCAACAGGAACAAATATTATGACATTGGTTATAACAAAGTTTCCAGTGGAACTTCTGTTAGGCAGAACAATTATATGTAGACACAATAACGCTAAAAAATCTTGCCAAACGACTTTAACGGTAATTTTTGGTGCATGACAATAAAATGTACATTTTCTTTTAGATGGTAAAAAAATCGACTGGTTTTGACGAATCACTTAAATTTTTTTTCAAAAATAACGGTTACTATAATTATTTGAGACCTCTGACCAAGGATTTGAATAGTATACAAATCCTTGCTCTGAAGAATCACGATCAGGATATTTTGATGAATTAAGGTAAAATTTTAACCAATTTGACGCTAACGGTAGCCGATAATGACCGTTTGACGCCTGACGGTAAAGGGCATTACTACCCTCATTAATAAGACAAAAGATTTCACATTCTCACTCTTCTCAAAACCTGGAATTTTAATATTGTCAGAACCACCCAATCTTCAAACAACATCACATTCTGTCAAACATCAAAACACATCTGTTTATTAAATAAAGAGGGTGCAAGGGCAGCTAGAGTATTAACCCTCAAAAAATCATAATTATCTGCTGCTTAGCATCGGTTCACAGTGTTTTCAAGGGGTACTAATCTGCTTCCACATGTATACCCTGTGTGACATTTACATTTTTAGGTTCAAGGAGGCCCAACATAATAACATACCATGCCAGATTTTTTACTGCCATTTTTGGTTTAAGATAATAAATCGTGAAGAACATACACTTTTCTTTTTACGACCATAAAATTTTCATTAAAGTTTATTTTCATATTTCTGACGCAGAACTAAAACAGAAAATTAAAAAAGCTGTAGACTTAATTACTATTCTAAATATCAAAGAAGCCCGCACATCAAACTATTTGATTTAGAACTTTTTTCTCCTGTCGACCCATCAATAAAAAAAAAATAAAATGTTTTCATAAAATAAAATGTTTTACCTACCTACCCTACCTAATTTTTTTGGAGGTGAAATAGGAAACACACTATTAATTTATTTTGGCCTAATAATAAAGCACATGGAGATTGTTTACAGGTATCTATGAAGACATGGATGAGTACTTTGCGCTGTCATTTTCTGTCAATTTTAAAACAACAACCAAAAAAGTTTAATAGTAAACTGTTTATACAGATTCAGACAGATATCATTGACAATTTGAGAACGCATGATGCAGCGGATATTCATAAAACCGACACGATAACCGTTTCCATCTCAAACAGATCGGGTACAGAATCTCTTGAGCCCGACTTTATGGAACCAATATCAGTGGTTAAACAATTTGACAGCAGCCTGAAGTATGCCATAGTTTCTATAAAACGTTGTGAAGACAACAAGGATGAAACCACTTCTCCATGACTTCATGGATACCTGTAAACACGACAGGAAGGGCGCATTTGAAATTTATAATCGATAGACAATGCCAAATCTATAAGAAGCCACAGAAACTACACAAAGATGTAAAGAAAATGAATGGTTGGCTTGTAAAAATAAATATACTTTCTCTATGTTAAATCTATCTTCTATTGCAATGAGTATGCTCCTTTAGGATAAGGGGAGCTACCCCACTCATTGCAATTCTTCTCCCTCTTACAATATTAAATATACCCAAACAGTGTGGCTTGTGTGAATTGAATTAAAACATGTCCTTAGGAGCTATGCTGCCAATTTTTTATGCAGTCAAAACATTTCAGCACAAACCATTTACTTTTAAAGGGGTGCTATTGATTTCAACCTGAAGTCCAAGATTTTTTTTCGTTTTAATTAAAGCCTGATCACATCAACATATCTTTCAAAATATAACCTTATTACATATAATTAAATATTGTTAGATTTATGAAAACAGTCAGATGTCAAATATATTTTTTCAAGTTTCCTTTTTTTTTTTAATTGAGAAAGATTCAATGGTTATTTTTTTTTATTGATAACACTCTTACATTGTCTTATGAATCTTTGATATCTACATTTTCCTAATGAAAATACTCTACTCATGAAAACTTTCTAGTAAAGAAGCATATGTCAGTGAACAATTTCTTTAAAACAATTCTAATCATTCCTTGTTTATAAGATCTTATAAGTGTTCCAGTACTAGTATTTAATAATGTCATAAATTGGATAATCACACCATGTTATAGTTTCAATTTTGGTTGAAAAGTTTCATTTCATGTTGGTTTTCAGTGTTTGTTTAAAAAAAAAATTTCTTCACAAGAAACTTGGTTTGTGTAACTGCTTGTATAAACTTCATTTTGGCTGATAAAATAAAATATTTTTCCTACCTACCGACCCTTCAGTCTGAAGGTACAGTCTGAAAACTGCAAACAAACATATTTTTAAGGTTGGCCTCACCGTGTAAGTGGCAACATTTTTTTAATTGAACTGGTTCTTTACGAACCATTCATTTCCTTTAAATTTTTTTTTTTTTTTTTATATTAGTGACTGGAAGAAATTGTAAATCATATTGTCATGTTCCTTTTGAGGCGACATATTTCTGTATCAGTTAAAACCAAAAAGATGTGTTTATCCTTATGGTCTGTCAATTTATAGTCACATCAGTCGTCAGTTGGTCAGCCGGGATAAACTACATGCATTCAAATTTCTTGTAGCCACCCTAAACATCAATCACACGAACTTTTTAGAAATTGGTTCATTAGTTTCAGAGAAGATTTTGGAAAAAAATTTAAAATGGACGAATGGTGAGGGATGTAAAAAGCTCACATGGCCCTTCTGGTTCATCAGAAGGAATTGAAATTATTTATTATCATCCAGCAAATTGAAAGTAGAAATTCTATTTCAGTTTGCAAAATTCAGTAGAATTGACATCATTGACCACAAACATTAAAGAAAATGGTGATTTTAAAATAACCGATTTTTGGTGGTGTGTGATTTCGGGGGACGGGAGGATACATTGTACATGAGTAAACTAAAGGCATGGAATGTAAGTACCTGCTGTGTGAAACAAACAGAACATGTAAATATTTAAAAATGTTGAATTACATACGAACAGAGAGGGAGTTGATAACTACGTAAAAACTCTTAGGATAATATTTCAAAATACAACCTCCCCCTTTTTTACGACATGCTAATATTTGATAGATTCGACAAAAATATACATCAATGTGTTTGATAATCGTCTTCTCATTTTTACCACAATATAATGTGTTCATAATAAAAATAAATAATTACAACCCTCCGAAATTATCAATAAATGATATTTACAAGGCCATTTTCAGACCCATGCCGGTTAAACCTTAAAATGTTGCGCGGGAAGTAAATTTGCTTTCACGTGGATATTAAAATTAAAGAAAAACATTTATAAGACAAACGGAATGTTTGGTTTATAACAAGGAAGGATGGTTACCTTTTTATCGTCTGACATTGTAATTTATATTAAAAACAAAGTCTACAGACTTCTTTTCAGTCAGACCTCCTAATCGAAAATGGAATATGGCGCACAAAGGAAATGCCAGATTCCCCCAAACGCCAATATTAAACGGATTTCGATTGGCCAATATTTTTTCTTTCATAAAACCCACGGCGTGTTAGATAGGTAAACAAATACTCCAAAATTTGTAAATAGTGTGAAAAGATAGTCTTTAGTTTCATTTACTTAGATATTGTAACGTTTTAAAAATTTTGAACTGGTTTACAAATAAAAAGAAATTTTCATGTTACTAAAAATAACATCCAATTAAAAATAGCGTAAAATGTAGCCCTACAAAGTAGGTCACGGGGTTATTGGGTTCAATTTGTCACACTTTTTCAAACGTGACAAAAACTCCCTAAATATGAAATATTGAATATTGGTCAATGTGTTTCGGTCTATGTCTGTCATAATGATTCGCCTCAATCTTCGATGATATTAGCACCTCTCGTATTATCAGTCTGAAGGTATAATACGAGTTACCTCGCTTTCCCTATCGTCGAACAGTCAGGAAACTGCCTGTCAGCCCACAATCACGTTCTCCCAGATATATTCACCGAACCCGTTCGCCCATTTTATTTTGTTTTGATTATCATAATATAAATTGGTTGTTCTAAATATTAACGTAAATTATTTGGGGGCATCATTCACTTTGGATTTGAATACTTCCTTTTATAATTTTATTGGGACGCTGAAGTACATTTTGTATGAACGTTTTTACAACCATATAATGTTACAAAAAGAAGCATTCAATTTTTATTATAAACATTTTTTATGCTACAGCCATGCAATTGAGAGTTATATCGAGCCTTTCGTTTGTTTTTCTATGCATTGTCACCGAGAGGCTGAGCACGTGTAGCCATGGCTGAGGGTCTCGATGGGTTTACAGGATAGAGAATAATGACTAAAATGAATAATGAATTGAGAAAATGAGCAAAAATACAAAGAATAGAGAATAATGGTGTGCAAAAGTATAAAGAATAACTGTGGAAAATAAAAGAATTGAATGAACGATGTACAGAATAAAGGCATCACCAAAATACATGAAAATTTGATAGTACAATCATTTTCACAAGAATTTTACAGAATAAGCGTTATTTTTAAAGATAAGGGAAAATGCCCTTAAAATTTAAAGAATACAGAAATTAGGGAACCCTATCCAGAACCTCGTAGCTGTTGTATTTGATACGGAAATAAAATATGATATTGGCGTCAGATCATACTGACCTAACTATATCAGTCCTATTCAGGACCGATAATTCTGTCGATAAATATTGGCGGGTATAAAATGTTGAAATGTATGCAATAACATATTTTTGTACTCAAGTTAAAATTTCAATATTGATTTTTTTAAAATGCCTGGATTTTGCATAAAACATTGAATTAGAAAAATACATGACAAAAATCATATGCAATGAAGTCTCGTTTAATTTTCTATGAAATAAAAAAAAATCCAGGATCCAGGATTTTGAAAAAGGGGCCCGGGGCCCCAAACTAGACAACGTCAAGAGTTGGACATCTAACTAACTAAATAGAGTTTAATGGCGACTACCTTTGTGGGTATTGCGCCAGATTACCTTATATAAAAACATTTCAAATGAATGTTTTAAAATTTATTATTATTTAGGAATTAACCTGTATTATATATTCATATTATAGTAAATTGTGAGTTTTTTTTTGTTTTTTTTCCCTTAAATTTAATCTTGATATTTAAATCTGAACTATGGTGTGTATTTTAATTATCTTGTGGTTGATTTATAGTGAGAAGAAAAAAATATGTGAGCTTTTTATTCTGTTATTTGTAACTTAGCCTGCTTTGTTTTTAAATATTAAATGATTTGATAAGTAGGTGTGTTTGTTGTTTATACATGAAAACTGTAAGTATCAAATGCTCTTGGATAGACTTATCTGACTTTTCCAAATATGCAAATCCTAGAAGGGGTCTGACATATTCCCGTACATGGTATATACATTAATACAATTATACCGCGGCTCGTACGTCCTTGTAAATTGTGATTCTCTGTATATTGAATTGGACATGTAAAAAGTCTACCATATTTGTAGTTCCATAAGGGGGTCCGGGCACCGTGTCCCTTCCCCTAAATCCACCTCTGGGAGTGCCTCGCGATTATTGTCAGCCAATCAACATTACGGATTATAAAGAAACATAAATGTAATGTAATTATTGTCCTTTGATCTTTAGCTCATAGTTATCTCACTATTCAACATATCAAATCTCCTTGATTTGATTTCACTTCGATATGGATTCATGGATATCTACAGGTCCTGAAATAATTGTGGACCTCCATAAATATTTCAGGATATCCTGAAGTTGAAATGTGGAGATCCATAAATATTAAGGATATTTTAAATATTTTGAATATAGCAATTTTAACCCGAGTATTATTTTCATGTTTTGGAAGTCCTGATATATTTCAAGATATCATGAAATCGAATTATGGAGGTCCTGAAATCAAATTATGCAGGTCTTGAAATGATTCAGAAGGTCCTCAATGATTTATGGATATCCTCAATTCGAATAATGAAGGTCCTGAAATATATCAGGAAATCCTTGAATACAACAATTTTGTCCAAATCCGCGTTTTATAGATAAACGAACACTGAAGGAGCCGAGTTGTGAACATAGATTTGCTTCTTTTGTTTCCCAATTCGCACATTCACTGTTGCTTACTAGTTTACTTTACAAAGTTTTTACTAGTTATTAGAACAATCATGGAGATCAAACACATCATAATACTACCTAATAAATATTTTAAATATCAATCAACAGTCATTAAAATATATTCAAATTAAATACCGATCTATAGATTAAAGTCAATCAGTTCGCGATTAATAAAACGATTATATCTTAAATTTAAAAAGAGGGTGAACGCACCCTAGTCGAACTGAGCCGTTACCAACAGTCAGTAACCCTCTATAAATAAAACAGTCAATTTTGAAGGTTTATAATATATATAGCGAAATATTGGTTTAGAATTAAAAAAAAAAGGAACATGGTTTACTGTTTGATATACCTATATGTGTAACAAAACATTTTTACTAATAATATCGAATGCTGGTATTCATCCACATATACATTATTTTTTTAAAAGCTGAATATTCAAAATTCAGATGTAAAGCTTAACTTTTTTTAACTTGATAAGTCAGTTACGCAAAAACTTTGTAAAAATTTTTATAAAATTTTAGAACTAAAAAAAGAATAGATACAAAAAGTAGAAAATTAGTTACTTATTTCAAACTTAAACTTGATACTTGTTTTTTTTAAAGATATTTATCGGTCTTTAAACAATTTTCACATGAGAAGTGCCATATGAGTGCCCATGATCTCAAAATAGAAAGAGAGAGATATAAAACTTCATATATAGAGAGAAATCAGAGGCTTTGTAAGAAATGAATAATGGATGATGGGGAGATATTTTTCAAAGAGATCAACAATATTTATCACAATTTTTCGGATCTCTCAAATGAGGCAAAATTTGCCAGTCTGTCCTAAAATATTTAGGGAATCATATTATTTTAATTGTCTATAGATGTTAATTAAAATTAGTTTATAAAAATCAAATCAAAACTTTCATTGGACAAAGCACATATGATAAATATGACATTGCGTAATCTAAGTGTATAACATACATGGCATATTACAATATGACAAATAATGTAAATAAAACATAATGCATAACAAGAGAAAATTAATTATGATTATACATAGAACTAAAAAAAATTGTTTAGTAGTTCCATAACTTATGGTAGACCAACTGACACTAAGCGTTATTATGAACTTTAAAAGCTTGTCTCAAATAATTTACATATTTGTAAGGCATTAAACCATATGGTCAATCTGCTTTGCAACAGAGAAGCAAATGATTTACCTAATTAAGCAGCTTGAGACACATACCTCTCGTTAAGATCACCTATTTAAAAATGGAAGAAATATATGAAAGATTCCATATTTTTGGAATTTTCCCACTATATAATATTTTATTAAATAGTTTTACAATAACATGAACCATATATGAGGCACTTTAAGTGATAAACTGATTCAGTATCAAATGAGACCACCAGACGATTTATATAAGAAAGAAATATATGTAGGTTTGTTATTATACGAACATTTAATATTTCATTTCAATGTAAAAAAATAATTACAAAATCATTGTGTATTGTTTTGTGTGTGTAAATGTCATGCTGCCCATCAAGGGTCCTTAATTGGAGCAATAACTTCTTCTTCTTCTACAACACTATCAAATACGTCCGATTTTTTGTTTAAGCGGAATAGATAAAATGGTTATATATATCTATGATAGATTCTTATTTTTCTCATCGGCTGAAGAAAACATCACGGTATGGTTCAATAATGAAGACTAACACCATTTTAATTGGGTGTGTCCGATCGGAGCGCTTTTCTTGATTTACATTCTCCAGGAACGCTAAAACCAAAACATTTTAAAGCCATGGATGTATAAATATTGAGATACTCGAGGAGCCATCTGAGCAAAATCACCGTGCCCAATGCCTTATATGGATGGGGATTGGGATCGGTATCATGCGGGGACGTGAAATTTAGTCGCTTCGATGAAGATAGGTCAGGAAAAATCCCCTAATTGAATTATTTTGGCCTTTTAGTTAATAAATAATACTGCAAGGAATGCACGTATAAAAAAAGATATTTCTTGGACTAAGCTTAAGTTTGCATACATTATCGGGACAGGAAATAGTATAGAACACTCGAGCAATAAAAAATGCAAAGATTTTTTTTATCAAAATTTCATGTGATTGCTTCATACTTATTTTGACAAAGGCTAATTAAGACATTATTCCAAAAATATATAAAGAAAATATTACGTTGTCAAGTGCCATGTTGTAGCAAATTCCTGTACCATGTCAGGAATATTGCAGTTGTTTTTCACTTGTTCCGTTGATTGATAGCGTTTGATTTTGTTTGCCCTTTTTGAATTTGCCTTATAGTTCTGTATGTTTGTTATATTTTTTTCAGCAGTTTATTGGATATGTTTTTGGGTTTGAAATCAACTTTTGGATTCATGTTGACATTATCGAAGTTGAATAAATTAAATTGCGTTATTAAATAACTGCAATAAGAACCATATATCACTGGACCAAATTAACATAACAGTCCCCTTGATGCACCCGAATCACCGTCCCCATATTTAACAACCAAATTTATTTTTGAAACTGTAAAATTATAAGATTTAAAGTAACAAACCATGCAATTATTTCGTGTTGTTAGTGAACAGTTGGACAGCCTATATTACGCAACAGAACCTGACATAAGCTCATACAAGCAAAAATCGATTGCAAGTTTCGAATTTGAAGGAAATCCTGATGCATTACTACTGATCCTTTATGCAAACCTTGCCCTGGGAATACCTCTTTTAGCTGTTAATTCCGTGAAATACTTTGAAAGGCCAACATAATTGAATATTTGACATTTTTAATAACCTTTTTTGATCGAAGCAACAGCATTTCCCTTCCCCGCATGATATGCCGATTCTAGTCCCTATATGTGACATTATAGACACGAAGAGAAAGGTATCGGCTATAGGTCATGTCAGTACCGAATCAATGACAACTTAGACGTTCGGGCCTATAAGCCCAACAGTGAAAATGAAAATATACATACCGGCTTTATAATTTGGTGCGTCCGGAGCCGACTTCTTGATTAACCTTCATTAGGAACACTCAAACTCAAAATTTTAAAGCCGTGCACTGCAGTGGCGGATCCAGGAGGGGGGGGGGGGCGGTTCCGGGGGTTGGAACCCCCCCTTTTTTTTTTAACTATCAATGCATTTGAATGGTGACATATAGTTGGAACCCCCACCCCCCTTTATCCTGGGTTAGGACCCCCCTTTTATAAATGGCTGGATCCCCCCTGTGCAGGGATATATAAAAAATATCTGAATACTTGCAAAGCTTTATTTACAATTTAAGAGGTATATCGAAACCAAGATATCAACATTGTTCATTAGCTATTGAAAATAAAAATATGAAATATCTCAGCTTATATAAAACAAATATTGGATTTAAGAACTATCTCACACTTGGATTTTCGGATCAATGCTCTTCAGCTTCGTCATTGATTTGGCCTTCCACCTATCTATTGTCCCCTTGGTATATTCTCCCTTTTTCAATATCGACAAAACCAATATGATGCACGAAGTTTAGTAAAGACCAAATGACGATTAAGGAGGGAGGGGGAAGGGGGCCCGGGACCCCCTTATGGAGCTTCATACATGATAAATGCCTATACATTTTACGAGTTTCACTCAAAACGTTGACTTGTTAATAGCAGTTAATTCACAAAAATGTACTCTGGTTTTCAAACATTTGTACAATTTTTTTTTAATATTTTGGAAAAAGGGTTTTCTTTAGAGACAAAATACGCCATAAACATTTTGAAGAACCTTTGAACGGACCTGTCCTACTTTAACATGTCTTTCATGCTTTCATATGCAATTAAACTATTCAGAGGATAAATATGGTACATGCTCTTAGAATTATTGACATCTTGCAAAAATTACAGATTTATATACTGTTCTTACTTTAAGGCTCTTTATAATCGTATAGAAAACTACATCAAGTCGTTTATTATCGAGTTTCTATATGATTGACATTTAGTCATGATTTTATCCAAAGAGGACTTTCCATTTTCCAAATATCCATGCAATTTGTACTAGTGTAAGACATTAAGACGCTGTTCATAAAAGAGGTTAACCTATTTTAGACACCTTCTTCGAGGTAAGAATATTGCCCATACTGTGTGATTGTCTTTCTTAGCGAGAGTACAGATTTTGGCAATACCTTTCATTAATGTTGTTACTCTGATACAACATTCAAGAAGATATAAATTGAAATCTGAAGGTTTTTTCTTGTTAAAAAATTGTTACTGTTATGCTTTGTTACTCACATTTATGTAGAGACAAATAGTGACATGCACATGACTTGTTTTGTTTTATTGCTCATTGAAGTCTTATCAACTTATTTACGCATATCTTTCCATAGGTATAAAATATAAGTTTACTACTAAGATTTTAAAATACTTTAATAAGGATCTTGTCTAACTGGTGTGATATTCACAAATATATGGATGTTTTTCAGAACACCCAACATCTCCCCATTCAAAGTTGTTGTCTGCGTACTGTAGTAATAAACAGTCCTGATCGCCACCTACGTTGTTTGGTTGACCCGGATGCCAATTGGTGTAGGTGACTGAGGCTCCCGTGTCTGTCCACACGAAGTTATGTTCACTCTTTTCGTCATTTCCGCCTGTGTAAAATCCTAAGCTGCCAACATTTGCCAAATCTGAAAACATCAAACATGATCAAGGTTAGGGGGAGAAATTTCCACAATACCATGAAATTAAAATACTTTTGTATGGTCGTAAAGTTCTTGAAATTCATAATTTTCCTCTGTTTTAATCACGATACAAATTTTGGCGGAATAATAACGTAATGATTTTCACTGTGATTGAATATGAATAAATAAACTGTTTTCAATAGTATAAACTTCTGCATTATTGAACCAATTTTAGGATATTTTTAAAACACACTTACTTTCATCGTTTTTAATAGTCCTTACAAGAAAATCCTGTTCCCCTTGACTATTTATAGACACCAAAGTAGATTGACTGTCTTCTTGACGACATGCCGTCTTAGCGTCGTACCAATTCAATGGTTTGGCATGGAAGGAATAATACGATGTATCTGAGCCATTCTGACGTACATGGGAACCATGCGATGACTTAGACAAATCTACAATTATACCAACAGTAAATTGATAAACTTAAAAAGATATATTAAGATAATTAATTAGTTTGAGCAATGAGCAAATGCACGAAATATTTGCCAATGGGCATTAATCGAAGAACAATCAATCAACCAACTAATTTGAACTGATTGGAGTTTATTATTTGATCCAAAACTCCAGATAACCAAAGTATAGTTTTCGTTACTTTGTTAAGATACTAGTAAAATATTATCTGTTGAGCGACAGATAGGGACTCAAATTGTTCGAACAATGTTCAATAAAAATATGAATTTATTTTGATGACCTCTTTGATTGGTGTTTTAGATGTGGTCCTCGTGCACCAAACCCCTTTGTTCCCGTGAGTATCGCAACCCGCTTATGATATAACCATATATATTGCGTATGCTAGTTGTATTAAATGATCCTATAAAACAAGGAAAGAAACGCCAAATTCAATATTTTCTCTATCAGAAATTTTCATATCAATGTCAAATGACGTGAATACTTTTGGAGTGATTGGAAAATACAATATTATTTCGTTATCCATTTTTTTATCGTTTATGTTTGTGAATACTAACGACTACAGGACGTGTTATACACTGTAACATCATCCATGGCGGTGTTAGATTTGTCTGGGAGTAGATGTGGCGGTAATACTTACGATTACAGGACGTATTATCCACTGTAACATCGTCTATGGCAGTGTTAGATTTGTCTAGGGAGTAGATATGGCGGTAAAACTCACGATTACAGGACGTGTTATACACTGTAACATCATCCATGGCGGTGTTAGATTTGTCTCGGGAGTAGATGTTGCGGCAATACTTACGATTACAGGACGTGTTATACACTGTAACATCGTCTATGGTAGTGTTAGATTTGTCTCGGGAGTAGATGTGGCGGTAATACTTACAATTACAGGACGTGTTATACACTGTAACATCATCTATGGCAGTGTTAGATTTGTCTCGGGAGTAGATGTGGCGGTAATACTTACGATTACATGACGTGTTATACACTGTAACATCATCCATGGCGGTGTTAGATTTGTCTCGGGAGTAGATATGGCGGTAATACTTACGATTACAGGACCTGTTATACACTGTAACATCGTCTATGGCAGTGTTAGATTTGTCTCGGGAGTAGATATGGCGGTAATACTTACGATTATAGGACGTGTTATACACTGTAACATCGTCTATGGCTGTGTTAGATTTGTCTTGGGAGTAGATGTGGCGGTAATACTAACGATTACAGGACCTGTTATACACTGTAACATCATCTATGGCAGTGTTAGATTTGTCTAGGGAGTTGATATGGCGGTAATACTTACGATTATAGGACGTGTTATACACTGTAACATGGTCTATGGCTGTGTTAGATTTGTCTCGGGAGTAGATATGGTGGTAATACTTACGATTACAGGACCTGTTATACACTGTAACATGGTCTATTGCAGTGTTAAAGTTGTCTTGGGAGTAGATATGGCGGTAATACTTACGATTATAGGACGTGTTATACACTGTAACATCGTCTATGGCTATGTTAGATTTGTCTCGGGAGTAGATGCGGCGGTAATACTTACGATTACAGGACCTGTTATACACTGTAACATCATCTATGGCAGTGTTAGATTTGTCTAGGGAGTAGATAAGGCGGTAATACTTACGATTATAGGACGTGTTATACACTGTAACATCGTCTATGGCTGTGTTAGATTTGTCTCGGGAGTAGATGTGGCGGAAATACTTACGATTACAGGACCTGTTATACACTGTAACATCGTCTATGGCAGTTTTAGATTTGTCTAGGGAGTAGATATGGCGGTAATACTTACGATTACAGGACGTATTAAACACTGTAACATCGTCTATGGCAGTGTTAGAGTTGTCTCAGGAGTAGATGTGGCGGTAATACTTTCGATTACAGGACGTGTTATACACTGTAACATCGTCTATGGCAGTGTTAGATTTGTCTCGGGAGTAGATGTGGCGTTAATACTAACGATTACAGGACGTATTATACACTGTAACATCGTCTATGGCAGTGCTAGATTTGTCTCGGGAGTAGATGTGGCGGTAATCCGTACGATTACAGGACGTGTTATACACTGTAACATCATCCATGGCGGTGTTAGATTTGTCTTGGGAGTAGATATGGCGATAATACTTACGATTACAGGACCTGTTATACACTGTAACATCGTCTATGGCTGTGTTAGATTTGTCTCAGGAGTAGATGTGGCGGTAATACTTACGATTACAGGACCTGTTATACACTGTAACATCGTCTATGGCAGTTTTAGATTTGTCTCGGGAGTAGATATGGCGGTAATACTTACGATTACAGGACCTGTTATACACTGTAACATCGTCTATGGCAGTGTTAGAGTTGTCTCGTGAGTAGATGTGGCGGTAATACTTTCGATTACAGGACGTGTTATACACTGTAACATCGTCTATGGCAGTGTTAGATTTGTCTCGGGAGTAGATGTGGCGTTAATACTAACGATTACAGGACGTATTATACACTGTAACATCGTCTATTGCAGTGTTAGATTTGTCTCGGGAGTAGATGTGGCGGTAATCCGTACGATTACAGGACGTGTTATACACTGTAACATCATCCATGGCGGTGTTAGATTTGTCTTGGGAGTAGATATGGCGATAATACTTACGATTACAGGACCTGTTATACACTGTAACATCGTCTATTGCAGTGTTAGATTTGTCGTGGGAGTAGATGTGGCGGTAATACTTACGATTACAGGACGTGTAATACACTGTAACATCATCCATGGCGGTGTTAGATTTGTCTCGGGAGTAGATATGCCGGTAATACTTACGATTACAGGACCTGTTATACACTGTAACATCGTCTATTGCAGTGTTAGATTTGTCTTGGGAGTAGATATGGCGGTAATACTTACGATTATAGGACGTGTTATACACTGTAACATCGTCTATGGCTGTGTTAGATTTGTCTCGGGAGTAGATGTGGCGGTAATACTTACGATTACAGGACCTGTTATACACTGTAACATCATCTATGGCAGTGTTAGATTTATCTAGGGAGTAGATAAGGCGGTAATACTTACGATTATAGGACGTGTTATACACTGTAACATCGTCTATGGCTGTGTTAGATTTGTCTCGGGAGTAGATGTGGCGGTAATACTTACGATTACAGGACGTGTTATACACTGTAACATCGTCTATGGCAGTTTTAGATTTGTCTAGGGAGTAGATATGGCGGTAATACTTACGATTACAGGACGTATTAAACACTGTAACATCGTCTATGGCAGTGTTAGAGTTGTCTCGGGAGTAGATGTGGCGGTAATACTTACGTTTACAGGACGTGTTATACACTGTAACATCGTCTATGGCAGTGTTAGATTTGTTAGGGAATAGATATGGCGGTAATACTAACGATTACAGGACGTATTATACACTGTAACATCGTCTATGGCAGTGTTAGAGTTGTCTCGGGAGTAGATATGGCGGAAATACTTACGAATACAGGACGTGTTATACACTGTAACATCGTCTATGGCAGTGTTAGATTTGTTAGGGAATAGATATGGCGGTAATACTAACGATTACAGGACGTATTATACACTGTAACATCGTCTATGGCAGTGTTAGAGTTGTCTCGGGAGTAGATATGGCGGAAATACTTACGAATACAGGACGTGTTATACACTGTAACATCGTCTATGGCAGTGTTAGATTTGTCTTGGGAGTAGATGTGGCGGTAAGATCCACTGCTATAATGGGAAGTGTAATAGGCATTGGTTGCTGACTCGAAAACTATCTAAAACACAAATTCAATTTCTTTAAGTCTTATATTTATTTTAAATTCCCATTTTCTATTTTGTCTTTTGCATTGTAAAACGCGAATTGTTGTTTATTTGTTCTTTAATGGCTGAGGTAAGAAGATTTTCCTCTAAAAACAGTACATTAAGGCTGGATTTTTTTAACTAGATACGCAGATGGTATAAAATTCAGTTACTAAAAAAATCATATTTTAAATGTTATACTGAATAACTGAAGTTACCTGGAATGGATGTGACGTATACTCATTATCCAATGATATCTGTGCTTGGTGCCAATCTGAATCTACATCACCTGTCTTGGTAAACACTGGATATCCTAGTCCACCATTAACCTAAATAAAAATAGAGGTTTCACATTATTGTTACTCAACACTCCAAGTTCAACTTACTCGAATTTATTCATCATTTAAGTATTCCCCATTCCAAACTAAAAGACAAATTGAAAGAGTTGGTATTACTTTGTTTCATTAAAAAGAATGGCGAACGTAGATACAAGTATCTTGTCTTGGGGAGAGATAAATCCTACTTTGTAAAGAATCACTCTGATTCAAATAAAAAATTCTCTGAAACTGACATTATCAAGATGCTTGATTTCTTGATTGACAACATATTTGTTACGTTTGGAGGACGTGTTTTTCAACAGACTGTCGGAATTCCAATGGGAACCAATTGTGCCCTCTTCTTGCCGACTTGTTTCTTTATTATTATGATGCTGACTTCATACAGGAACTTCTTAGGATGAAAGATAAGAAGTTAGCAATATCCTTTAACTTTACGTTCCGCTATATAGATGATGTTCTCTCACTAAATAATACACAATTTGGTGACTATGTTGAACGAATCTATCCCATCGAACTAGAGATAAAGGATACGACAGATACAGTTAAGTCTGCCTCATATCTTGACTTACATCTAGAAATTGACAATGAGGGTCGGTTGAAAACAAAACTTTACGACAAAAGAGATGATTTCAGCTTCCCAATTGTGAACTTTCCATTTCTATGTAGCAACATTCCAGCAGCGCCTGCATACGGAGTATATATCTCCCAATTGATACGATATTCCCGGGCTTGTATTTCCTATCATGATTTCCTTGATAGAGGATTGCTGCTCACAAGGAAGCTATTAAACCAAGAGTTCCAAATGGTGCAGTTGAAATCATCCCTTCGTAAATTTTACGGACGCCATCACGAGTTGGTTGTCCGTTATGGAATAACCGTTTCACAGATGATATCGGATATGTTCCTTATGTCGTAACTACAATACCCTTCCCTTTTCACGAATGTGACCTACCGAATTAGACTATTTACCGAATTTGTAATAACATAAGCAACACGACGGGTGCCACATGTGGAGCAGGATCTGCTTACCCTTCCGCAGCAGCTGAGATCACCCCCAGTTTTTGGTGGGGTTCGTGTTGACTAGTCTTTAGTTTTCTATGTTGTGTCATCTGTACTGTTGTTGGTCTGTTTGTCTTTTTATTTTCGGCCATGGCGTTGTCAGTTTGTTTTCGATCTATGAGTTTGACTGTCCCTCTGGTATCTTTCGTCCCACTTTTAATAAAATTTCGCCACATGCAAAACTAGATTTAACCCACTTTGTGAGTGTAACTACAAATTGTATTTTTTTTATTGTTATAGTCTTTTTTTTCGTTTAACGTTCAATTGAATCGCTCATTACCATCACCTATTTGTCATTTTCTTCTGTATTGAACTTTCATATTCTCCGACAATAAGTGCATTTTTTATTACTTTCATCGTAGTGATACCAATACAAAATTTGCACGTACGCCCATCTGAGATACATGTAGTTGTTTTTGTTAACAACGTATTGGCTTTAATCATGATTTACAAATACGTTTGTTGTCCTTGTTTATTCCCTTTACTTCTACACAGCTAATTTTTAAGGTTTTGGCTGTTTTTATAGTCTTTTTAGCATGCTATATTTGTTTTGTTTTTTGTGTAATTAACTTGTCTTATATGAACGTGAAAAAGTGTTAGTACGGCATCATGTTGTCAATATAACATTCAAGTTCACTGTAATGGTCAAAGACTATGTCAAATCTATAATTTGAAGCCTAGTTATTGGTTTAGAGAGTTTTCAGTTTGTTATTGAAGCATTGCTAACGTAGGATATTTTATTTTAATATAACTGTATACAGTCTCCGAATAAAAGTGCAATTTATTTACATTTTTAGGAAATATCTCATTTTCAAAATGTGTTTTTCTTTTCTTCAGATAACAAATTTGTAGTCCAATATGGTTGGTAAATTCGATCCACCTTTAAGTACTCGAAAACTGGTCGGAAAATAAATTTCCAGTGTTATATTGATGAGGTTTTAAAAAATAAACTTTAATGAACATATTTTCTATCTGTGCTTTTGAAATGTAGTAGGGCATATCTAATTCACCCCTGGGAAGAATACAGTAAGATTCTTCTTGTTTTTGTTTAAATATATATATATATACCTTTGCGTATACTTTGAGAAATGTTATATCTTGTCCATGCATATTATACCAGAATTTGATACAGTATCCTGCAGATGAGGTAGAATACTGAGGAGAATCTACTCTAGATGTATGAGTTGTCTTAGAGGACGATGCAGAGCCTTGGGAATCCAGCATCATGTAATGACCTATAGAAAACAAAAGGTTAGAATAAGTCATTTAATTAAATACAATACATTCTCATGATTCTCTTGTCATGTATCATGATTTTTTAGTTTCTTTGTTGTTTGTACTATTTAACTTAGACTGCAGGTAGTACATGTTTCTATATGGGTGGTAATCATATTTAATTGCATAAGTGAAGCGCGTTTTAAAAAAAATCTTCGAACTAAAACACATTCATGCACGGAATGCGACTCAGCATCAATATTTTTGAATACCATAAACCTTACCGAGTACAAATTATGATAATCGCAGTAGAAAAAAATATGTAGTGTGAGCTGTTTTTCACTAATTTATACCTCCTCGATCTTACTTTTGTGTGTAAAAGAACACATATAACAAAAATATAGAAACAGACAACAGACAGTAGATAAACACACCGTTTATAGCTTACCAAAATTAAACATCAAGAAACTATAATTTTTTAACTGCTGAGTAAAATACAACATTTTTTTTGTACATACATCAAGGTACAGAACATACATGAATGCAGCAAACAGAAAGTAGAGAAGTGACCGACCTGAAAATGTGTACCGCTAAGTTTACCAATTTTGAAGATTTGAAAATATCAAAAAGTCCTTATTCGTTTATAATTGAGAAAAATGTGACAGAAATGTGCAATGGACGGACGGGTGGATGGATTGACGAAAGAAAGGTCGGACGGAGAGAGGTAAACCAGTATATATATATACATCCAAGTCCGTTGTGGCGGAGATATAATAAGTTTCATGTTTTTCACATAGAAATACCGATATTTATAAAGTTTACCTTTTGGAGTGCCATATGTATGGTCTTGCTTTGGTCCTGTTGTTGAGGACTTCATTGAAGATTGCAATGTCCAGTGTGAACCCGACTCTGTTACATATCCACACCTTTTACTGTCCTCGAATCCACAGAAAGTCCTCGAAACGGGTTTGTTGCTTGATGTATCTGCAAATGCAATTAGAAAAATCATGAAACGGTTTGAAGTTGAAGTTTACAAAAAAAACTCAAAAAATCCTCTTCACTCGCGCACACACACACAAAAAAATCTTTTGTATGTGTGGCGGGGATGGGGGTAGATTTTTTTCTTGGGGAAAAACATTTATTTTTTTACTTTAATAAAAAAAAAACATATTTTCTCAATAACATACAGGAAGAAGAAGTGTTTTTGAAACTCTTTTGTTTTTGTTTGTGTGTTAATGTTTAATGGAAACACACTAAGTTTTACATTTCCCTCTAAAAACAAAATATAATTTTTTCAAGAAATGTCGAATCCAACTGAAAGTTATTTAAAAAAGAAACCATTTCTCGACATATATGAATGGTCGGTGTCTTACCTGTTATACTATGGCCATTGTCAGTTTTGGCTGCAGTCAATACCGCTTTACATGTCTGTAAATCTTTAATAGATGTAGAAGTCTGTGTCTGAAGTCTTATTTTCTCACTCTTCCAGTTATTTGTTTGTCTGGTCACGCTTTCAGTCGTTTTATTAAGAAGATAATCCACACTTCGGATTTTCGATTCTAATGCTTTATTTTCAGAAAGAGCGTTCTCAAGTAGTTGTTGTTTCTGTAAAATACTTGCTTTAGTTGCTTGATACCGCTGTACAAGGGCACTGAACTGAAATTCCAGAGTACTCAATGAACTTTGCAAGTTGTATGTCTCTCCTTGTACGATTTCCAAGTCTCCACACCCACAATTGCCACTCGGATCGCTTTCCCGTCTGGTGTTTGTTGTTTGGTTACAATGATGGACTTTCAAATTATAAATGCACTGTCCAGAAAAGTCACATGATGCTGACGTTACAGGCTCTCCTCCAAATTGCAAGAGGAAAATTATAATAAATCCCTGACTGATTGTCATTGTATGTGCACGTACACCCTGTTTTCTTATCATTGACAATAGATCACTAATATTCTTATCATTGGCAGTACTAACAAAGGACATACCTATACTTTACCTGTTAATATAGGTTATCGTTGAAGTATGATCATAGTTACGATCTACTTCAGTCAATTTTTCTGGTCCATCTGTTCACAAAGTATCGTGAAAGACGACAAATTTTCGCCCGTCGTTTGTTTTTCAATGCTTCAGAATTTTTTTTAGCTCTTCTTACTAAACTAATATAATAGTCTTTATTGCAGGGTAATGCATAGAATGCATTTAGTTTTGCAGCGTTGACTTGATAAGACATTTTTATACTGATATACATGTAGTTCCATTGTTTTGTTTTTAAAGCACATGCAAAAGCTGACGACCGAAACAAGGATGACTGATGGTAAAACAGCTGTTGGTAACTAATTGGCCATTTTCGGAGGCCCAGAGTTCACCTCTAGTTTTGTTGTAAAGGGGTTCGTGTTGCTAATGCGTTAGTTTTCAGTGTTATATATTTGCCATGAGATATCTTGTATTTCAGGCTATTTCATTGGGTCAAGTTTTAGGACCTATCAATAACTAACGAATAAGCTGATGTGTAGGGGTTAGACAATATATATTCAACAATCCCCTGTTGTATTGTGCTTAATCGGTGGATATGACTCACCAACGCATTTTAAAAGGAGTAACACGACGGCTGTTATTAGTACTGATTGACAGATTTCATTCCGGTTGTAGTTGGTTCGAATTACTGATCCATTCTGTTCTTTGTTTTGACCTATCTGAATTAAACTTGAGAAGCATTATGTATAAAAAGATCATAAGAATTCGTCACGTTAAACCGTTCTTATGTTTTTGGTAATGAATAGCAATTGATTACTCAGTCTAGGCTATCTACTGATACGGTAATGGATGCGTTTGACGAACACGGTTGTTAATGTGTATGACAAATACGTTTGTTGATGGATGTATATGCTGGATGCAGTATTTCAAGTTGTAAGACATAGCTAGAACAACCACTGACGATGTTCCTGACTTGGTAAAGGTACATGAACATGTTGCGGGTTAAACTAGTTTTAATAGAAGTTTACCCCCCTTAAATCCCAAACCAGTTGAATAACCAAAGGTACACTTTTTATTACATTGAAATCATTTCAGAGCTAGGACTCTAAAAGAGTATGTGTTGCTCACTTGAATAGATGTACTACAATTTCACCAATGGCTACTCTCGAACATTGTAGAATAGTAATTAATCTATTGACTAAATATTTTTTTGTTGATCTTGTATTACTGATTATTTTTTCTGTTGTTTTTGCCGAAAATACCAATGCTTGATAAAATCGGCAATAATTTCTTGAAATAGTGGACTAACAATTACACCTTGGTAATTGATTTGTAGATCTTATCTTGCTGATCTCTTTTGGGGTTTTCTCTCAATCTTCTATAGCGTTTTCCAAAAATGTATAAAAGGGTAAAAATCACAATAAAAATACAATTACTCCTATAAGGAGTCGACGGCCAATTTCAGCCATGTTGACATGTCTGCATATCTTGTCCTGCTGATCATTTGGCAAAAATGGTGAAATCATCACTTAAGGACAATATCTCCTATAAGCCGTTGAATGACGAATTTCGCATGTTGACCTCTTCGAAGAACTTGTCTTGCTGATCATTCGCTGATTTCGATATTTTCAGAGATTTTAAGATGATAGACAAAATAAAATGGTAACCATTGTCGTTTAACATGTTTAATGGCCATAACGATAAATTAAGAAAAAAAAACCAGACGACCTAATTTAACAGGATATCTGTGATTAGTTTTTTCTGCATTATCATGTCGGCGGTTGTATTTCGGCGATGATTGCATACAGAACATTTCAGGATGATAAAATATTTTACAGAGTCTTGAGTAAATTTGTACAAAATTCCAATTCAAAACAATAATGAAACATTTTACTTTTGTTTCAAATACCAATATTGGAATTAATGTTAATTATTCTAAAAATAGCAGACCTGATTGAACTGCAACAGTATAATTATAATATTTCATTAATAAATCTATTAAATCAAAAAGAAAGATCTGAAGGAAAGTCATTGTACTTACCTTATAAAGAATATAACAATAAAAAAACTAGATGTGAAATAATACTTTAGAACTATATTTATGAGTTGTGATTAATTTATAATATCTTTATCCCTGTAGTTAAAGTTTTTTAGTACTATAACAAAATGATTTCTGTTTTTACGTAAGTGTAATATACAAGTATTTTAGTATTATCAAAGTATTAAGGTACATGATTTTTGATATTACGATAATTGAATATATTTGGTAACAAAAAAATAAAAAAGAAAAAGAAAAAAGGGGTATCGGTCGACATATTTAAGCCTTAGTAGCTGAAAATCCTCATAATGCATTAACAGCTGATATCTAAAATGTCAATTTACAAACATATTATAATCGGTTATTTTGATTGTTTAAAGATCTTCATAGAAAATCACCATTGTATTGATCGCTATTTCTGTTGTAAATTGTGCCATTTAACAAGTATTTACGAAGACTTCTTTGAAGGTTCCGAAATTGAAGGTGACATTGTAACGAAGTCAGTAAGTGGATAAATAATTTTTATTATGTAATTACAAAGTTAAGACTGGTTCTAAAGTTCAAATGTTAGATTGTTCACAAACTGTCTTTAAAGTGTTGAATTGTTCGAATGTTCATATCGTCACACGGACACGTGATCGTATAGTGGTATAACTGTTCGGTCCTGACTGAGTAATTCGGATGGTTAGTGAATTAATTCCAGCCTACCCACAAGGGGGGAGACCTTGGCGGAATCTCCTGTCGGAATCTATCTGTACGAATCTATCTGCCGTTCGAGTCCAAAGCTGGATCTTATATAGTTCAGTGGTCCATACAAACGGTCCATAGCTGTAGGCCGGTTACGTAGTAGTCTGGTTGTGGAGTAATACTAGTCTGTGGTTAATTGTCAAACTATGCAATTAACCCCTGACGGATACATGTTATTTCACAGAAGACATGGTCATTTATTGGCTGCAGGGTATATGTCTATAATATTCGTACAGATTGTTATTAAGTGTCTAAAGGTTACATGTAATCGTTTCGGATTTGCTGTATTTAGTTACTTCCTGATGATTAACGTATGGAACACAATTGTGTTACATAATGCCTTCCATCCAAAATAGAACGAAAGTTCAATAAAATACGGTATTTTTCATTTTTCTTCCTGTAGGTTATTCTAATAGTTTATTGTAAGGTTTCCGGTAACCATCACCACAAATCTAGTTCATAAAATTCGGCAAATCCAACATCTGGATACATAGAGTTCATATGCTTCATAAAGTTCAAGATTTGGGTATATATTGTGCATACTTTTTCCCGTCACCATTATAGCATATTGTTCATCAACTGCTGGAAAGGGCACACATCTTTGTACAAGTGTTGGTCATCGTCTGCTAGTGAAACCGGTCATCAACGTTGTAAGGTTTACAATCTAGTCCCATTACGAAGTAGTTGACGCATCTAGCTCTGGGTACATCCTTCTCACGAGACTGTTAACATCGGTCTCCGGTTAAATTTCGTCCCTGATCAATGGCGCAGAGGAAGACATCTCTCTGGAAGCAGCAACATCTGTTCCAACCAATTGCGTTAACACCATTTTGTACCCGTTGTTTCGTGGCATTAGAACCAGAACTCGCACTTTTCTTTTTGGCTAACCAAGATATATTCTTAATAATTTAACAGTACAAAATATGGCTATTCAAATGAAGATCGCACCTAACCCACTGATAAACTTATCCCAATTCGGAAAAACTAAAACTTGTTTACTACTTTTTTTTATTTATCAATCGTTTGTTCAATCGCCTTTAGTTCACTGGGTTATTCAAGCCTAGCAAAATTTAATAAAACAATGTCTAGGTAAAATCAATACGTTCTCTTAAATATCGAATTATCTGGTTAAAACAAAAAAACAAAAGAGGGAAAAAAACTGTCGTATACAACTTCTACAATTTTGAGAATCCTACATAATAAAAACAAAGATACGTTTATTTACACAAGACATGAGAAACATATTTACAAAAATACAAATTTACAATCAAATAAGTTTAATTCGATCATTCTATATAACCCCTACACCTACCTGATACCTATAAGAAAAAAATACTAAAAATTATATGTGTTACTTTGTTACCAATTGTAATACTTTTACGTCTTTAACTTTAGTTTCTCATTAATTAATCTTAATGCTAAATGTAGTCCACAAATTTATTCTCATCACTCTTAAAAATATTTAAGATTACATTGATTAAATTTAACTACGTCTTGCGCAATTTGTTACTGACTCTATATTTCCTATTTGACAACAACACCTTGTTACGAAAAAAAAATGCCTTTCTCCTTAATCTATTACATTTTTCCAAAACAAGTTTATAGTTTCTTCATCATAATCTTTCCTTTCTTTTTTATATACATCATTTTAATTTGCTTTAAAACATCAGCAACATACTGCCTATCTTTTTTATACATTTCATTATGACTGAATGTATATATGTTGAGATTTTATTCCTTCTATTTTTTTTTTAAACTTGACTTACTTCTTAAAACCCAAAACAATTTAAAGTTTTTACTATGCTTATTTATGAACAAAACCCATTGTTTAGACTCATTTTTTGTTTTACTACTAAATTAATTATTTTCTTATTCTTATTTTAATTTCTGATAATTATCCTCATAATTGTTTATAAAAAAAAATCAATTTTATTTTAATGCTAGTTTTCCTTTAATATCCATTATCTATTTCACTTAAAGTTTGTCATTAGTCATGAAGTTCATGTGTCTCTAATTTTTTACAAATATCAATCTACCACAAAAATACTGTAAATCCCTTAGGGCAAAACATATCAACATTTATCTTTAATGTGCTATTTTCTGAAGATACTTCTCTTTATCTATTAACATTTATTTTATG